GGCGAGCCGGCCGGGATGGCTGTCAGGTCAGCAAAGTCGGGGGCACTTACCCATCAGCCCCAACGACTGACCAGGTGCCTCCAAATACAGCAACTGATATTCTCAATATCTGACCATGTGATGAGCATGGCTCCAGTTACTTTGTAATACACTTGGTTACTAAACTAATTAAGTTTTATATTATGTAAAATTGGTCAAATATCAACCATCTGTTAAACACCAACCACTACTACTAAGTATCATGCAATGCACAAAACCTCTAAGAAACGGTTCTCGCCTTCAAACCTCACCGTAGGCCAGACCACGATCAAAATCACATCACAGTATGTTATTGCAATCTTCTGACACACTGACTTTATAAAATAACCACCTTGAGAACAACTAACTCATCCTAGCACTCACAGGCACCTGGTACCATTCCTAAGTGCCAGACACTAGACTGGGTGGCAACAGAATGAATGAGACAGACGAGACGTCCTTGTCTGTCAGCAACTGGTAGTTGTTACTCGGAGAGCTGGAAGGCCAGCCGGAAGATCGCCTGGTAATACAACGGTTAACTGGTTACCTGGGCTCGAAAGGAAGGTGGTGGCCACATCTCTGCAGCGGGAGCAAGGCCTACACCTACCGACTGCCCTGCATCTAGCCTCCGGGCCGCGGGCAAATACTCACCGCGCTGATCTGCCACCAGAGGAGTTAGCCGCCGAACTCCAGCCCAGCAGGAGCCCCGGGGAGGGCTGGTGGGCTCAGCAGTGGTCTCCAGGTGACAGACTGCATTTAGGAAAATGTGTTTGCTGGGCCTAAGGACTTAACAATCCTGGACACATAGCAACAGCTCAACCCGGTAAACCAACCAGGTGGGTGCGCCAAAGCCCTGGTCAGGAACAGCACTGGACCTGCTCCACCAAAACAGGACCCCCGGGAGGACCACAGAGCACGGGAGGACCGCAGAGGACGCGAGGACACGGCTGTCCTCCCACCGGACTGTCTTCCACCCTGGAGCCTCACGTCTCCCCACGTTGTGGGCTTAGCCAGGGAGCTGCTGTTTCAACAGGAGAGGCTGTGTTCCAAAGCCACCACTGGGGAAATGGGGCTCCTTGCTCCCTCTGTGCCCGTTTTTGTTTTCTATTCCAAGAAAGAAAATTTCATATCTGAATTTGCAGCGTCATACGTTCCTGCTAACTTGAGAGGCAGAAAGAGTTTGAAAATGGTCTGTATTGAGATTCCATTTTTTCACCACTGTGGAAATGGGAAACCGGTAACAAGCATCTGCCCTAAGAAAAAGGAAAGGCGCCAGGGCAGAGAGTGGACAGGGGCAGACCACGTGACGAGCAGAGGCACAGAGCTGCCACTCTCAAGCCCTCGGGGAGCACGGCCCCTCCTTCCGAGTCAGAGAGGTGCTCGTCTCACTGCAGGCTGGCCTGCACCTCGGTGGGCGAGGCCACCTGGAGCCCTCCTGCCAGACCTGGGCGTCCGTCTACCGTCGCTGCACTTGCTGGGCACCCAGGGCTGCTGGGTTGAGGCTCCTGGTACCAGGAGTGAGATCTGGAGCAGGGACAAAGGGTCAGGGCCAGCTCCCAGACCCTTTCTCTTCCTGTGTGGTGTGATCAGCTTCTTCACTTTCCTCTGCTTCCGATTTAGGACAGCACACATCAAGAAATCTACACAACAGTCAGCACTAACGACCCCTCTCCTCTCCTGACACGAGGGCTCGGCCACCTCAGCAGGAGGTCCTACCCGTGTCCCGAGCAGGCGGCCAGGTGACAGACTCAGGGCACGACCTGCACAGCAGGACGGAACACACTGGTAGGGCACTGGACGGAAACCTACCAGCCCAGCTCAGCACCACTTCCTCCCTAAAATCCACCCTAAAATCAGCAGGGAAGGGGTGAGCTGCGGCTGGCGGGGCGGCTGACCCCCAGCTGTCTTCTGGCTGGGGGACAACAGGCTGCAGCATCACCAGTGCGTGCCCACCTCCCACAAGCAGCAATGATGGTGCCCTGGAGGGTGGCAGGGGTGGTGATGCACATGGAGGGCAAGGAGGGTGACCGTATAGAAGGTCCCCAAACACGGGTCAGCACAGCCGAGACCCTCGTCGGGCAGTCCACCGCCCGACAACGCCCTGCGTGCCTCCCGTGTGTTCCTGACTGCTTTCCCCAGTTTGAACCGGCCCTGCATTGCCCCGAAAGACAGCGTCTGCTCCTCACAGTGTCTGTCTGTGGTGCAGCAGCTGCCACTTCTGACTCGGTGTGAGGGAGGTCAGGCCGGGGGAGACCGCCGGGTCTGGGGACAGACTCAGCCGTGGGACCCAAGCAGCGCGTCCCAGGTTACAGGCCCAGCCCTGCGGTGGGACTCCCCCATGCCACACTCTCCTGCTGCCGTCCCCACAGAGAACCGACCGCCTTTCCACCCAGGAAAACGGGTTCCACAACGCAAAGGCTGTGCTTTCTAACTCGCACGCGGGGAACGCCCGCCCCCCAGGGGAGTCCGGCAGTGAACTGTGAGCTGCCTGGCCACCCGGCGCGGCCTCTGGAATGCTCAGGGCGGGCAGGCTGCAGCTGGCTCCCGCCCTCTTGCTGAGAGCAAAGAACACTCCTTTCTCTTCATATTTTGCAATCTTCAAGTCAACAAGCCAGTGACCATTTCTGCAACACACGATGTGTGTCTGAGATGTGAGAGCAGACCCGCAGACCACGAGGGGGGCCGCTTCCTGCCTCCTGCACCTCACAAAATGGAGCTATCTGGTGTGTCGGGAGCCGTGTGGTCAGGAATGCTGGGTAACCAGTCACCCCTGCCAAAATCAGATATGAAAAGAAAACAAAAGCTGGCAACAATTCTAGCTCTCATATTTCTCTTTCAGAATTATATTTAATAAGGTTAATCTCTGAAGAATGCATTAATTCTCTTACCTGATTTAAAATAGAACTTGGAGACAACTCCCAGCTACAAAACTTACAAATTCATGTAAGACTAACTTATGTAACTATCTCCAATTGTTTTATAAAATCACCCACTTAATTTTTTAGAAGTGGATTTTTAGGTAGTAATGTTCCTATACCTCTAGTTTAAAAAAAATCACTTCATGTTATTTTTAGCCTCGCAGCCTCTAACCGGAAGTGAGCTGCAGGAGGCACAAAAGCAGCTTCAGAGCAGCTTCGGTTTTAAACGAAAACCAGCACAAACCAGGACAGCACACCTTGTTCTTTCAGCAGGCCAGCAAACTGGCAGTTGGGGTTTTTTCAAGTTACAAACATAGGGTGGAGCACTTATATCCACCAAACTCACAAGAGCCTGTCCAATGGAGAGTAACACTGTAATTCCTCTTCAAACACAAGAAAATAGGAAGAAAAAGCCCCTAACCCTCGGGCGCCACTTACGTGGCGAGCTCTCGCTTATAGTGGTCGTGACCCTGAAGCAGAGGGACAAGCTCAGCGTCTTCTGCTCTCAGTGGGTTTTATTTCTGTATCTTACACTTTAAAGGTGTATTGCCTAAACTTTCACTTCCTACATCTAAAGACGAAAAACTGAAGGCAAGTCTGAAACAAACTCCACAGAATTCTCTACAGACAGAAGGGGTCCCCAGGCCCCCACTACCACTGAAACAAAACTAGTTCGAAATCCTTTAAAATTTTCCTCCCGCAAATATGAAATGGCCATTGTCAAAAAGTTGAAATGTAGCGTTCAACTGAGATTTATTGAACAGCTTACAATAAAAGTGTTTATGCCAGTTTATAGATTCAAATACATTTTAACCCTATTGACAAGAAAATGGGGGGGGTGGAATTCACTTTATTTCAAAAAATGGAGAATACACCTTTACCATAAACACAATCTTTAGGTATGACATTTGGGGTGAACAAACCAGCATTCTGGCTGGTGAAACTCACTTGATAGTAACGCACCCTGCAAACAAAGTGGGGGAGACGACCCGGTTCATCAAATGCAAAAACTTATCGCGGGTGGCTGGCTCAGGCCCCGGGTTTATCTGCCTCGGCGTCAGACCTCTGACCCCGCACGGAGCAACCCGACTTCCACACTTTTACTTAGTTGCTTATTCTGTTTCACCGCGGCCGCCGTTCTGCAGCCGCAGCGCACTCAGGCGACCAGGTGCGGACGCCTGCCAGTCCCTGCCCAGCACCCAAAGCGTGAGAACGGGGGCAGGTAATCTCCCAAATCTGGGGTTTCCTATTTTTATCTGGAGCTTATTTTACTGCCCGAAGCAGGAAGGCGCACCGGACACACCCGGGGGGCCCACGACACGACGCGCGCAACTGCCTGTCACGAATGTCCTTTCCCCCCGCACGTCGCCATGGCGCGGTGGGAACCCTAGTTTTTAGGGATTTTCTTTTGCGGGGTGCAACCTCCAAGTAATACACTGTGGTTTTCAACAAATAAAAAAAATCAAGTTCCAAAAAAGTGCCAAGTCACTTGAGAAAACCCGCCGACACAGAAGCCGCGTCGCGCGGCGGCCAGAGCTCGCCGCACTCGGATCAAGGTCAGCAGCGGCTCTTGCCGCGCGCACCCGCGCCCGGCTCCTCGGCCCCGCGGCCGCCCCGTCGCGGCGGGAAGGGTTTCCTTTCCGGAGAAAGCGCGCGGTCGCCGCCGCGGCCACCGGCAACACCCGCGGGTGCCGCTCCGGCGCTCGACGGACGCGCCGTCCCGGCGGCCGGGACCCGGGGCTGCAGGTCGCTGGGGAGACTGCAGGACGGTCGCCGAGGCCGGGACGCCCTGGACGCGCCACGCACCCTGCGGTCCCCGGAGGCCCCGCGTTGCGGTCCCGCGGCCGTGACAAGCGTCCCCGCGCCGCCCCCGGGGCCCGGGCCGCACCTGCCCGGGGGCTCGCCTGTCACCGCGCCGGCCCCGCCGCTCGCCCCGCGCCCCGCAGCGGCCCCCGGGCCGGAGTACGCCTGTCACTCGGCTGCGAACAATCGGGAGCCCCGATCCCCGCGGCCGGATCTGCCCCGCTCACCGCGCCCGCGTCCCCCGTCCCGCCCGCTGCTCACCCGGCGGCTGCTGGAGGCGGCTCCGCGGGTTCCGTCCCCGCACGGCTTGGGTCGCCGCGGTCCCCCGGCTCGGGGGCGTGGGCGCCGGCGCTGCTCGCGGCTCCGGGGGGCGGCGGCTCCAGCACGGGCTGCGCGGAGCTGCCGCCCGCGGGCTCGGGCGAAGGGGACGGGGACCGGGACGGGGACGGCGGCGCGGGCGGCGGGTCCAGCTCCACACTCCGCACTTTGCGCAGCTGCCGCCGCCGCCAGTCCGCCCGCTCGCGGCCCCCGCCCGCCTGCAGGGACCCTCCGCTAGCCTCCGCGCCCGCGAGTCCTGACGACGACGCGCGACTCCCCGCCGCCGCCGCCATTTTCCGTCGCGGCCGCGTCCGCCGGGCGGAGGGCGGGGCGGGGGGCGGGGCGAGGGCGGGGGCGGGGCGCGTAGGCCGCCTGCGCAAGTGCGGGAGCGCGCGCGCCGGGGCGGGACCCTGGGGTCGCGGGGACGAAGGGGGGACACTGGGGTCCGGGGCACCGGGGTCGGGGAGACAGGGACGCCGGAGGATGGGGGACGGGGTCGCCGAGGTCGGGGGCTCAGACACCGGGGTCTGGAGGACTGGCCTCGGGTGCAGGGAACGCGCGCAAGGGACTGGGGCACCGAGGGCTGGGGGACGGGCCGCAGGTGGAAGTCCGCCGTGCGCGCCGCCGCCAGGTGGTCCCGCTGCTTCTGCGACAGGAGGGGCCGCTGCTGCCGCGCTCCTCAGCCTGGCCGCCACTCGGACTCCAGAGTGCGGTGCGTGGAGGGGACGCCCGCCCGGCCGGAAGCGTCCGGACGTCCTGCCGAAGCGCGGCCGCGGACCAGAGAATGTGATTTTTCTCAAAGCGTTCCGAGTCCTCCGTTTCCGGACTCGCGCTACGTTCAAAAAACCTTCCCAGTGTACGCCGCTGCTGTTCCCAAGCCTAAGTCACGAGTTTGGGACCCGACCCCGCGCCCGGCTGGAGAGACAGACACCTGCGCCGGGGACGGAGGGCCGCCCGCAGCGCGTTTGGGGCGAGAGGGCGTCGGGCCAGCAGGTACCCTGCGGGGCCTCTCAGCCAGGTCTGCCCCCCACCCCCAGCCGATGCCTGAATCGGCACGTCCCTGCGCTGCGCCCCGCCCCGCCGCGCGGGCGGGCCCTTCAGTCCCTGGGGCGGGGCCACGAGGTGCTTCGCAGTGAACACGAACATTTGGGTGTTGTTCACGGTTTTCGACCTTTTCTGGGTGTATGGAGCCGATAACGCAGCAGCGACCCCGGACTTACTGCGGAGGCGGGGTCCCTCCGGAGCAGGGAGGGTAGCGCTGTCTTGACCCCCTTCGTGTACTGAGACAAGAGTCCGAACTGATCACAGAATCGCCCTCTGACTTCTTGGAATCAGGTCAAATGGCAGCTCCTCACTGGGGGAGGACGGGGGTGCCCGAGGGGTTTTTAGAACTGCCCCGATTTCATCCTAGCTTCCTGTTTTTAGTATCCTACTTTTCCAGAAGATACTTTTAGGCAGTTACATCCAACGGGACAAATTTTGAAAGGTGAATCTGTTAAAATTGCAAGTGCACATGTAGGCTGTAATCATGCGCTTTTCTCCTGGTAGCCGAGTGCTTTCTCGGTCTTCCCGGATGCCACACCCAGTGATTCTAAGGTCGAAAATGATACTTTCCTCTTTCCTGTTTAAATCGAAAACCCCTTACATTTGCGCTCACACTAAGGCACCTGTAACCGAGAAAAGGAGGTGGATTCCATTACCTTTCAAAATTCTGAAGTTTGGCCAGAATAGCAAAGCAGAAGTGGTTCCAGCAAGACATTTCCTTTTGCCGCTTTATTTATCCGTAGCGATTAAAACGGGACCAAGTGACGGGGGTTCCCAAGGCCATACTTCCCACTAGCCAGGTTCTCTGGCTTCCCGGTCCACCAGCCCGCCATGGACACACCTCTATGGTGGGCTTTCGCCTGGTATTTAGTGCTTTGAGTCATTTTCTCCTTAATCTTTTGGGTAAATATTTGGGTTGTCATTATGCATCTATATACACTGGAAAGCTGATTTTTTAAAAGAGGTAGAAACATAATCAAAGGATGTGCTTGACTGAAGGGTGCTCTTCCTCTGCAGTGTGTTAACACAGTCTTCTTGGGAGACTGACACGGTTGCTGCCGAAGTCTGTCTTGCCCCTCAGTGGGATTCCAGCCCTGGCTTTGGAGCTGTTGGCTCCTGCTTCACATGCCTTCAGAAAGCCACATGTCAAACTACCTTCATCTGATTTCTTTAATGACATAGAGGAGGCTGGTGTCCCTTCAAAGGTGCCTGTCCACTGAAAACTCCAGGCGTCATTTCCAAGCCCTTCACTTGCATCTTCTCTGACACAAATGCTGCAGCGGTTTTATCGATGCCGTGACAAGTCCAGAGCCATCGCGCCAGTGTTTTCCAGATGGCTGCTTCCCCAGAGTGCTTCCGGAATCACCCGCCACACTTCAGTTCCTGTGCACATTCATTCGGAGGGTCCAGTTTCACATGGGTGCGTTTCCTCACTGTGCACGAACACCCCCGACATCAGCATGAACAGATGTAATGGGCCCTGGCAGAAATTTTAGCTGTGCCTCAGCATAGATTCATTAAGCACCTATGAAGCATGTGCAAAGAGTTTGCTTGTTTTCTGAGAATATTTTTTGTTGTTTCCCATCCACAAATTTTATTAGTGGGTATTTATCGAGATCCAGCCATGTGCATGTGTTCCTGCCTCAGGGAGACCCACGTCGTAGGGAAGCACGAAGAGTGAGCTTGCAGCCCTCAAAAGCTGGCGTTCTAGCAGGTTTACACGTGCAGGGCAGCTGGGGCTGGGACTCGGTTTCCCTCTGCTCTTTCCAGATGCCCAACTTCCCAGATGTTCCAAGTCAGAAATTCTTGTCATCTGTGGGATAACTGGCCCTGGCAAGGGTACCTGTAAGTGACGTTATAGCAGAAAGTTTCTTAAGCAGCTTCTGCTCAACTGGCTCATCCGGGAGCAGACACCTGCCATTCCCGGTGTGGCTCAGACCAGCAGAGGGACGAAGGCCCGTGGCCCCCACACCTGGTCCTCCCAGCAGGTGAGTCAGGGCCCCGGGAGGCTCCGCCGCAGTTGTTCTCAAAGCTGATTGCACTGATTATACTGTTCTGAGGGAATTTAATGGAATTCTATTACATTGATTACTAAACTAGTAAAACATGAGCATGTCAGTGCCAAAAGAAAATTGTTCCAATGAAAACCGAGTTAAATGCTGAGAAGGAATGAGCACGAGGCACAGAAAAGTCTGTCGAATTAGTTGCGGGAATGATGAGTGTTAAAAATGAGGAAAAAAGCATTTAAATCTATAAGAAGTTATTTGGCAGATATCTTTTCACTTTGCTTCTAAAAAACTAGATGTGGAAATTGCAGACAAGATTTGTAAGAAAGGCACATGGGGCTCTTTCCACGTTTGTAGTGAACTCACATCCAAAAGACCAAGCCCCTCGGCCAAATACTGGGTAAAAATCCCCAAACTCCACACAAACCTTGTTATTTATGTGTTAAGCTGAAGTAAAACATTTAAGATATACAGGGTGGGGCAGAAGTAGATTTATGGTCATGAGAACGTGAAACACCGGCTTCATTCTTGTGTTGTTATTAGTTGTGTTATTTTCCATATGAACAACTGTACACCAGCTTTTGCCGCACCCTATATATATAAATATATACATTTTCCCTTTATTAACCAGCCACCTAAACGTTTCGCATGTTTCTGCATGAACTTAAAATCAGAAAGTAAACTTCACCTGCCTGGTGTGTCTCAGTGGATTGAGCACAGGCCTGCAAACCCAGGCATCGTGGTTCGATTCCCAGTCAGGGCAGGTGCCTGGGTTGTGGGCCAGGTCCCCAGTGGGGGGCATGTGAGAGGCAACCACACATTCATGTTTCCCCCTTTTTCCTTCCCTTCTGTGCTCTGAAAATAAATAAAATCTTCATAAAAACCTTAAAAAAAAAGAAGGTAAACTTCATAGTAAATAACAAAAAAAAGCAGTTGAATTGGGATTTTACCTTTCAAATTAAAACTACAGCATGGAAATTTCATGTGTCTGACATTGGTGCAGTTCTGCTCACTGGTCCCACCCTGCACTCATTCTCCAAGGTCTCTGAGTGCGCCGCATTGGCGGCTGTTTTTTGACGTGTGATTTTGACGTGTGATGAGATACTCTTTTCCTGTTCAACTTCTGTCTTAGTCATGACTATCGTTTTTACTAAACGTGTTAGGAACTCCCGACCTTTTCCCGAGGCCCTCTAACAACCATGGACTTTCTTTGAACCGCTGTCCTTGTTTCCCCCAGGCTCTAATGGCCCGACGCGCCGAGTGCCAGCTGAGGAGGCTTTGTGTGACCAGAGGAGCTCGGTGCCACATCCAGGACACACACAGTCGACCTCAGCTGCGTGTGCGACATTTGCACCTTCACTTTGCAGTCGATGTGCATTGTTTCGGGTCAAGGATGCTAACGGGCCGCCACGTGGCCCCCACTGGTGCAGTGGGATCCAGGACAGTGCCCACACAAAATTCACAATTTCCTAGTAGCCACATTAAAAAAAAAACCTAAAAAAAGCAGGTGGTTAATTTCAATACTAGATTTCGTTTTACATAACATATCCAAAAGGTGAATTTCCATGTATAATCGATTTATTTATAAGTCACCTCTCATGAGATCTTTCACCACGTATGTTGCACTGGGCCTTTGAAATCTGGGGTGCGCGCCACAGCACAGAACATCTCGAGTGTCATTTTGGGCTGGCGGCACCTCGTGCAGTCAATCGAAACCCGCAGCTGGTGGCTGCTGTTGGAGATGGCCCCCCTCCCCCAGCCATCGCCCCCCAGGTCTATGAGGTTGGTGGACAGCTCCAAGCTGGTTAGGCCAGATTAGTGCCTAACTAACATGCCCAGAGCATAGAGAACCGTAACAGACACCAATCGGTAAACCACACCTACGACAATCAGCCTCTCCGCTTCCGGCAGCGAACCGGACCTTCGGATCCCGTTGTCGAGTCTCCCTCCGGACTGCAGTCCTGGTGCCGTCTCTGCTTTCCCGACTCTCCGAGTGACCCGCAGCCCAGACTCCAAGCTCCCTCTCATTCGGCAGACGCAGAGGGCGTCAGCTCCTCCGTGGGGGGCACTCTGGAGGCTGCAGAGCCCCGCAGAGACAGAGCCAGGTGGGGCACCCAGCCCACCACCTCCCCCAGCTTCCCTCCACAAACTTCAGTCGTCACCACGGAGCCCTGTCCTCAGGCCCGGGCTCCACCCCAGTGCTGGCTTCCTGGGCCAGGTCCGTTTCCTTCAGACCTTCACTTGTGGGGCCCCTTCCGCAACCCCCACTCCTAACCCCTGACCCCAGCTCGGGGCCAGGCTGGCTCCTAACACCCAGAGGGCTGGGGCAACTACTGATGGGGCCCTCAACAGCATTTTTAATTATTTAAAAGTTGAAATGTAAGCCTTCGGTAAAATAAAAATATGCTCTGGGCCCCTCCCTTGATAAGTATATCTTCATAAAGAACACTGGACACTCTGTGTAAAGCTGCAGTTTTTAAATCACCCACATGACAATACCGTAGATAATTGTGTTTAATCGCACATTTCTGGGGGCTCCATGGACGGAGGGGTCTGTCCTAGAAAGGCCCCGTGTGCCCTCGGAAAGAGCGGGCACCCTGCTGCTCCGGGGTGAACAAGGCCATGATGTTTAAGGGAGAGAGGAGACACTAGGTGACCCAGAGAACTGTTTTCGTGGAAAGACTAAAATTAGGGACCGATGCATTCGTGAGAAGGAGTGATTTCAGATTCCACTCAGGCAATGCTGCCGAGGGCTCGAGTATGGGGCCCACCACCCCTCTGAGTCCGCCCCGACTTTCCCCAAGACAGATGCCCCCCATCCCCCCCCCAATGGCGCCGCAGGGGGGTTTCGGTCTTGCCCCGAATCTGCTCGCTGGCAAACGAGCAGGGCAGGCTGCTAATTCTACACTTGGCGCTCTTCCCTACACTCACCACCGCGTCCAGGAAACACAGGTGTTCTCTGAGTAACAAGGAGGCATCATCTAACGGGTCACACAACATCCTCCTGGTGCCCGTCAGGCGCTGTGCACCCGCAGGTTGGTGTGTAGTGCCGGTGCGGCGCACACTTCACCAGGGCTACAGCTCAGTCGGGGGCCAAAGTTACACAACCCTTCTGACTGGTGCTGAGGACCTTGAACCGGGCTTCTGCCCGCCACAGCAGCACCTTGCTACACTGTACCCTCTGTCACTGCGGAGCCAGTGACACCCAGCACGGCCCCGGAGCCTCCTAGCAGACTCTCGTGCACTTCCCTAGGACCATCGGACACGAACAGTGGGCACTCGGGGTGCTCAGATGTGGATAGGACACTGTTAGTTCTGTGTTTTCTCAGTTTGGAAACGACACTTCACCTGCACCTGCTTAGTGCGTCTGTTTCAAAGTTCAACTCTTTCTTGTCTTTCTTTCTTTCTCTGGAGCTATTCACGTGGGTAAGGAAGAAAAAATCCAACAAAGGTGGCAAGAACATGCTTTGCTTCATAAAGGCCTCGCAGCTGAAGGGATGCTAATCAAACTCTCTCCCCGCGTCAACTTTTGAGCCGACTCCGATGTGGAAGGCTCCAGCTGCAGAGGATCCCCACACCTCATTCTATTGCGTGTTGCTTTATGGCGCTTCCCTGACGTCGCATTTTTGACAAATGGAAGGCAGGAGCCTCCACCAGCAGAGAGCCCACAGCTCGCTTCACTGCGGCGCCTGGGACCGAACCGGCAGGGTGTCCAGGGTTTGCCTTGCAGCAGGGAGAGGTGCCCTGGGGAGTGATGGGAGGTCTCTCCAGAAGAATTATGTTATGGAGAGCTACAGGTGTCACTCCCCGGTGCCCAAAGGACCCAGTCTATGACCTGGGTGAGTGGGACACTCTCACCTGCCACAAGAAAAGGGCTCCATGCACAAAGAAGGAGACATTAGGGAGAAATGTGAACATGGGAAGCACGGAGCAGGTATGTACACAGGACGTTTCTGCATTTAAGGAGGGAAGTCACCCACACAGACAGGCCATCGTCGCCTCCCCGGTGAGGACGACTCTTAAGGGTGTTACTCAGACCGGCTCAGTGACGGGACTTTCGGGAGCGGCCACCACCTGTTACCTTTCTGGAGTCACATCGGAGCCGGCACTCAGGCCCCTGCCCCGAAGCCCATGCTCACAGATGCAGTACCCCAGGGGCGGCCGATGTCGGGAACGGACAGGGTTCCGCGGGTGTCTGCTCTCAGGGACACAGCCTGACTCCAGCTGCAGAGGCTTCCAATGCCTGATCTGGAGTCATTTCTGCCCCTCCCTTTGGGACTGAGGAGTGGGAAACGAGAAGTCGGCTCCTCAGGGACGTGATCCCTCCTTCTCTCTGATCTGCCGTATTCGCACTCGACGCCCGCAAGTGCAGCGGCCCCTGCAGACGGATCCGCAGCCATCGGGAGAGGCACTGACTCGAGGCAGCAGCTGCTAGGACGGAAGAGCCTAAGGCCTCGATCAGTCCCTTGAGCTGCAGGGCGAATCCACGAAACCACCCCAGGCCAGAATTTCGATTTGGACCTGACACGACGCCCTATCTGGAGAGTCACTTTTTCGTAGGCGTTCTGAGCTGCAGCCAAGAGCACTCTGATTAGGGGCCCTCCCTCCGTGGTTCCGTCTCACGGACAAAAGGAGCGAGGCTCTGAGTAGCAACTCGCTGGACACCCACAGTGATCAAGTGGCAGGCCTGCAACCCAAACACTGGTGTCCTCGTTCTTTCTGCCAGTCCTTGGAGAACATTCCAGCTGGAATCAAAGGAAGCGAGGGGGGCAGTCTCAGGCACGGCGGGAGAGGAGGCGTCTGCTGGTAAGCTCAGGCCAACAGGACAGGACTCCAGCCAGCTGTGAGGGACACTCCTGCCTCGTTCCTGACCTCTCAGCCCACCCCCGGGTCGCCGAAGCCAATTAAAAATAAGCACTGACCAGTCACTGTCCTAGATACATAAAAATAACATTACTGTACATGACCAAAAGTGAGCCAGATTCTCTGAATTTCTTTCCAACTTCCAAAAATAGTTAGGACTCTCTGCCAGAGAGAGCGGGGCTTGAGTTCCCATGAAAAAAAAAATCAGTCTATGGCATTTGCTCCAGTGTAGAAATAATTAAATGCACACTGGAGACTGGAATTCTCAGTGCTCTCTCACCCCACCAGCCTGCTTTCTGAAAGTAAGAAAAACTGGACTCTAGAAAAGTGGGTTCTTGTCTGTAGAAAACATTTGCTGTTCTTTTCAGCCACCCAGGATCTGACCCTTTCTTTACAGGTTTGCAGAATCTCTCATCTTAAGACAGAACCCACCTTTCAGTGCGTAAGTTTAAAAGACCAGAGACTTGCTTTCCCAGCCTCCCTTGCAGCTAGAATCTGGGCACTTGGCTTAAGGGCCACTGTGATGACTAGTTTTATGTGCCAAGATATTTGGTTAAACAGTCTTCTGGGCGTGTCTGAGGGTGTGTCTGGAAAGGTGTTTCTGAGCCCGAGGAGCGTTTCCGGACAGCATCACTAGGCTGAGTGAAGCATTCGCCGCCTTTGGTGGACTGGGCTCTATCCGACCCATGGAAGGTCTGGATGGGACAGAAGGGCAGAGGAAGAGACAGCTTATTTTTCCTGCCTGGCCTGCATCAGTCCAGGACGCCTTTCTCCTGCCTTTGGACTGAGGCTCTGACTGAGTCTCCGGGCTGGCCCACAGCTGCATCTCAGGCTTCTCCGCCTCCGCAGGCACGGGAGCCAGTTCCTTACCACCAAACTTTATCAACTCTCATTCCTTATCTTGTAATTCCTTACGATACATCACAATAAATCATCCTGTTCATATGAAGAATCCAGACGAATACATCCATCCAAAAAAAACAAGAAACCGCCCCCCACATTTGGGAGGGGGGAGCCAATGTGGCAAGAACAGGTCTGGAGAGAGGGACCCATGGGGGGAGAGGAGCGCTGATCAGACAGGCCTCGGGCAGAGGGGACCTGGAATCGCTGGGGTCCATCCGTAAACAGAGCAGGGGGTGGGGCTTTTGTCTGCCTCCTGGGGCCGAGGAGGCAAACACCCCACGTGGTTCTCAGAGGCGTCTGCCAGCATGAAACGCTTGCTGCTTTTCCCTGCCCAACTCCCAGTGAGAGCTGTGCGTTTGAGGTGAGGTCACTGCCCTCTCCCATCCCCCACAGTCCCGCACCCAGGCGCCCCCGGGAGGCTGGGGGGGGTCCTGGGTGCACAGCTCAGAGGACGCCCGATGGCCCGCCTGAGTGCCAGAGCCCACGGCAGCCTTGCCAGCAGGTGTGCGGCCTGCATCTCGGAACCTGCAAACGGAGGCCGATGGAGGGACCAAGGCCGTGAGGGGGCTGGGCCGGCTTCCTCCGGAAAGGGCCAGGGCTGCGTCCGTCTGCAGGTCATTGTGCACTCACCAGTCGCTGCGACGGAGGCCGAAAGAGAAAAGCCCAAGGACCGGCTCTCAGAGAGGCCGTCCCGAACAAAACGGACCGGCTGCACCCGGTTCCTGGAGCCGGGCCGAACGCCCACACCACCCAAAGCTGCTTCACCCCCCAACTGGCCTTCGAAATGCGGGGTGGGCCAAACACAGCGTCCATTGTCGCGCTGTTCTCCATACGAACAGCGGCGAACCTACTTCTGCTCCCCACTTGCACCTAGAAAGATAAGGGTCAAGTGATGCTTCAGAAAGTTACTACACTGACCTGACCGAAAGAACAGAGTGGGCATTTGGGAACCCTAATTCACAAGTGATGTTATTGGCTGTCAAAAGTCACAGGAAAATCACGGCTACTGCAGTCACTGGCATCTTCCGGAGACGACGCAGTAACACAGAAGTGTGTGCGGTTCCACAGATGACGGGGAGTAAACGGAAACCGGGCCGGCGGCCCGACCGTTAGATGTCAGGGTACGGCCCCCACCCCCGCCCCGAGACGGCAACTCCCGGGTGTGTGGGCGCACACCACACCCTGTTCTCCGACCGAGGGGCCTGGACCTCGGCCTGGCTTTCACCTGACGCCCAGCGTGGTGCTGCTCAACCGAGTCTTCTACCCGCCTCCTACGGTCGGTTTGGCTTCCTCTTTTACATGTAGCAAGTGCTACCTGGGCAGTGAGGATATGGCCCGTTTAATATTAATTAGTTCTTTAATGCTGATCCGTTCTTAATGTTACTATTAATGTT